TCAAGCTTTGAAGCAAAAAGCAACTCGTTTTGGAACTCTCTTTCCCCTTGGAGAGACCCCAAGTCCATAACCTTAACAGCAACGTGGAACTCATTAGGAAGAGTTCCATGATAAACTGAGCCAAACCCACCTTGGCCTAACCGAAGAGAAGGGGAGAAGTTATTCGTGGCGCGGCGGAGGGTGGTGTAGGAGAATCGGTGCGGGGGTTTGGAGAAGTCGGTGGGGACAGTGCGTTTACGAGTGATTTTGCGGAAGCAGATGACGAAGAGGACGACGACGGAGAAGGCGGCTGCGGTGGCTGCGGCAAGGGGAGCTATGAGGCGGGAAGGGTGGTGGTGGGGGGGGAGGAGAGGGGGAGGTTGGGGTGGGAGTAAAGGAGGGATTGGGCGCGATGGCATGGTGGTGGCGGTGATGGTTAGAAAACAACTAGAAAGAAAGATTTGGTAATGGAAAAGAGGAAAGGTTTTGTCAATCGATGGTGATGTGGACTTCTTTTCTTTTCTTTTTTTTCCGTTTCTTTTTTGTCTTTGTTTTCCGTTTGTTTTTTCTGTTTCCTTAGATCTTCTCCACTTTTTATCTTCCCTGTTCACTTTGGAGTTTGGATGCTCAAACACCCCACTTAGAGAGGGAGTTCAAATTTTACTGTCTGAAAATTGGGTCGAGGTTGTCCGAACCTTTTAAAAAAAAAACAAAAAAACAAAACTAGGTTTTGCTACATGGTGATACATGATTTATTTATTCCACTTGTATTTGTATTTAATGTGTGTTAATTTTAAGGAATTATTTTGTTGATTATGAATATTTGTTTTACTTTTTAATTTTTTGAATCAATAACGGAAGAAATTTCAATAAATGTATTATGTTGTTAATCTCATTCAATAAACATTAATCCCGGCTGTATTGAATAAAAAACAATATTTGATGTGTGGTTCTAGGTGTATACATATGGGATTGGATAATTTTATTCATCTCTGTTGTTAATATTCTATGTTATATGAAAGTGCAATAAAACTCAAATCAACTAGTGTATCAACTCGACACTTGAATTAATTAGATAGATTAATTTAGAACTTAAATCTATTTTAATTAAAAAATAAAATAATCTAGTTAAAAATTTTGGTTTAAACTGGATAAAAAAATAATTAATTTCAAAAAAAATTAAAATATCAAACTTGTAATCATTTTTTTCAATAATAAATTTTAAAATTATGGTTTATGAGGTTGATTTTAACAAGAGATTATTATGGAAAGTAAGTTTTTTTTTATTAATCAATAAGATTTAAATCTCATGTGAAAATATATGTATCATATGAGACTACAAGAAATTTAGTAAACTTCTACATATCTTTTAATTTTAACATAAATGATTGTTTTCATCAAATAAAAATATAAATATATATACGTGTGTATTTGAAAATATTCATCAAGTTAACTTATTAAATTCTAAAATCAAATCCCAATATGGGTTAAAAAAATTTAAAAGAAAAGGACTTACGATTCAAGCAAGAAGCAAGACTAAGTCCTAGTGTGATCATGTCAAAGTTATTTCTAGTGCAATCCATCGTAACATGCATCAACTTACGCAAAAGTCGTCTGGTTTAGGCATGATTTAAGCAATTAACAAGAATATTGTAATCATCGTCTCTCACCGAGCTGAACGGGGAGAATAATTAATGATAGGACATATGATGCTCTTACGTTTACAAAAACTTCAAGAATTCCTTGATTTTCATTCTTTTTTCATCTTAAATTACAATAAAAACTTGAATTTAAAAAAAAAAAAAAAAACAAAACTTCAATTTATAGTTTCTATTTAAACCTACTTTTTCTTTCTTTTTTTAAGCCCAGCTATAAAAACCATCACAGTACCGATCAGCAAGGGAGGTTGAAAACTAACTAATCAAAGGTGATTTTGGTACTAAAAGCCATGTTTAGGCCATCCATTTGATAAATCAAAGGGAATGAAAGTGGAGCAGGTAGGCTTCACTCACACGGCACGGCCCCACACCAAAGTAGGATTCCAAGAACCAAACCCTCTTTGTTTCTTCTGCTAGGTTTGACATTTTCTTTTCTTGCGTACATCTTTTGTACCCTGACAGAGACTGTTAAGAGCTACTTTTAATATATTAATTCTTTTAAAAATAATTTAAAATTAATAATTATATAAGTTTTTAATGATTTTCTATTTGTAATATTTAAATTGATAATTTTAAATATATAAATCTAAAATTTAACTAATTAAATTATTATTTTTTAAATTATTTTTTTATATAAAATAAAATCATGCAACCACTGCTTGTATTGTAGTTATTGTTTGTTGCTCCTAGTATCTAAGCTGGCTCGCAGCTCTGTTTAAAATATTGGAGCCCGACTTTTCCATCTTGCAATCTTCAACTATTATTTTTTTATTTATTATTGCTTCAATCTATATGATTTTTATAAAGGAAGACAATATTATTTTTATCTCCTCAATCTATAGGGTTAGTTCATGCCTCTAATCTTCAATAAATATATGTATTGATAAATGTCAACATTAATATTTAAGGGTCAGATTCTTAAAGGCAGGCAGTACAATATTGAAGCTGAACACTATTTTAACTTCATTAAATTCAGGTGATTGCAGTATAAAAAAATGGCCTGCAAATTTGAAGAGGAAAAAATGGAAATTGAATTGTTTTGACTAATTTTGAGTTTGCTTTTTCAAAATTGAAGCTATTCTTACTTCACAGAAAAAAAAAAAAAAAAAAAAAAAAAAAAAAAAAACTGAACCTGGAAAAGAAATGGCCAGTTGCCATGATAGCAGGATAAAGGAGGGCAGCCATGGGTCATAATCCATTTTGGAATCAGAGAAAAAGTGGTAGAGAATAAATTTTAATTCAAAGAAAAGCAAATGACTCTTAAATTAATAGTAGCCGTTGATTTAGATTATTTCAAGAGACTGGAGACTACGAGAAAAAGACTACACGTATGTTTGAATATTTTATTAATTATTTTTTGAGTTTATCTTGAAGGAAAAAATAAACAAAAATAAAATCCATAGCTATTAAAAAATAATAAAAAAATCTCCATTTCCTTCTATATATCTCTATTTTTTTAAAAATCATCTAAAAATAATTAATAAAATATCACTTCTCTAGGGACAAGCAGCCTGCCCATGGAAAGATATCTTCATTAAAAAGGAAAAGAAGGAAAAATAGCTATACTTTTATCCTTGTAAATTCCAAACAAATTCACTTTGGTCCTATAGCTTAAAATTCTTACTGTCACCCTATACTTTCCAAAAGTTTGAATGTTACCCCAGCTATTTACCAGCTAATAAAATCTAGTAACGATCCCACTTTTTTTTTAATATATTTTATTTTATAGTCTCTTGAAGAAGAATAACAGAAAAAAAGTAAGAAAAGGGGATGAAAGCACGATTCCTTTAAATATTACGGATAATATTGAAGTTTTTTTTGGAAATAATAGGGATAAAATTGAAAAATTGTAAACAATAAATATAGAAATGGAACATTAGTAAATATATAGTGGCAATTATATACTAAACCCAAAAAAGAAAAAGTGAAAAAAAAGAAAAGTTTGACGTATCAATGGAATTAAAGTTGTAGATCACGTGGAGACCGGTGGGATTGTACGTTGCAAAATACTCTGCTCACGTGCTAAACCACCTTGTGTGGCTTCTCCCCGTGGGCGGCTCCATAAGAAAACAATATTGATTCTTCACACCGTTGAGGAGCTGTTAGGAATTCCATTTGAAATGAAGTTTCATGAAAATTTAAGATTTATTTTTATTTAAAATTAATATTTTTATATTGTTTTGATTTGCTAGTATTAAAAATAATTTTTAAAAAATAAAAAATATTATTTTAATATATTTTAAAATAAAAAATACTTTAAAAATAATCATTATCAAACTTTTAAATACCTTCTCATTATATATATATTAAACAACACTAGATATTAAAGTATTTTTATCCATCAAGTTTGACTCGGTAAACACCCATGTTTTTTCAAATAAAATAATAATATTTTAATAATTAAATAATATAATATTTAACTCTTTACAAGATATCGCTTGTTTAGCTATATAAACAATGTTGAGAAAATAGTTATTTTTTAAAATATTATTTATTAAAAATATATTAAAATAATATTAAAATAATATTTTTTATTTTAAAATTTTATTTTTAACATCAACACATTAAATTATCTAAAAATATAAAAATAAATTCAAATTCAAATTTTTTTAGAAATATTTTTTAAACCAAAAAACAAACATATTCTTAAATATGTCTTGGAATCAAAATCATTATATGTGTTAATAAATTTCCGATCTTATTTATTTTTATATTTTAAAAATATTTAAAAAAAATTAATTTTTTTTTTAATATGTAAACACATAGCTCCAGCCTCAGAACCAACACTTTCCTGCTCACATGATCTCAAAGCCAAGAATTTTGTTAGTTTCTTCAATAAAGGAAAAATCTGGTCCATCATACAGCTGTAGTTAACAAGAGAGACAGAAAAGTAGTGTACAGAGTTCCCCACTCTGAAAGTGTACAGGCAAATGGTATAATAAATTCTACTTTAGATGTACACACCCATGACCTTGGAAATTTGTTTTATTTGTGTTCTTCCACAATTCCTGTGGTCAAAGAGGATTTCCAGAATTTCTCAGGCAACGAGCTGTTTGGTTGGGCCATGAGTCTTATTTTGCAATAAGTAGGTGGACTTAGTTGCTGATTTAAAAAAAAAAAAAACATAAATTGATAAGAGTAATATAATTAATTTTTTTATGAAATAGCTTCAGCTTATCATTTTAGAAAAATAATATTTAATAAATATAATGTTTTAAAAACATGGCAGCTTAACATGTGTTTTTCTTAGAAAGTATAACATATCACTAAATTTAAAAAAAATTATTTTAATATATTTTAAAAAACAACAAGAATCATACCCTTTAAAAAACTAAAACCCCATAAAAGAGTGCACTTTCCATTCAATTTGCGTTAGTTGGAAGTTGGAAGGAGCACCAACAAAATAAATAAAAGATGAACGACTCTAGCCTCCAAAAGGACATGCAGATCTCAAGAAATGGTAGTTATGCAGGTGGAAATGGCCACAGCCACACTGTCACTTCAGCAAGAGATGGGTGTCGTGAGCTCATACCAGGACAGGAGGAGGCAGCCTTGAGGCCCCCGCGGAAGAACAGAATCAAAAGATGTTGAACTTCACAGAGAAAGCTGGGTGGAAAATGCAAGAGCTTTGTCAAGAGATTAGCTGGAATTTAATTGTCGAGGTTAACAATCAATTAATGTTGCGGTTAGAAACGGCGACATTAATTAGTTATCAAAATTCAAAAGCACAGCAAGTAAAAGCGTGCTGCGGTGTTAATTCACTCATTTATTTGCCTAACTTGTTGGTGCAGCTGCGCGTATCAATCCTACAAGCTGTCGCGTACCTCACAGCTCATCTTAGCTAGGTACCAACTAGGAATTAATAAAGATGGTTTGCGAGCTACGAATTAGATGGCCAACTTGAGTAAAACTGATGCAACCAAAACTGGAACGACACTGCTAAAACGATGATGGATCCCCTCCTAGGCCATCCTGACAAACTGAATCATAGGAGTAAAGGCTTCAGAGCACCCTGCTTAATTAGGCGCTCTCAGTGGATGAACACAGCAGCAAAATAATGTCTTAAGCAGCGGTTGATCTCATTCCACGAAGAAACCTTACCATAACAAAGATACCAAAGTCTATCTAATGCTATGCATTTATATAAAGATGCTATTCTACAATAAAAACCCTATCTGTGCATGTTGTTGATTTCCAGGAGATGCACCGAGTTCAGTTCAAGATTTAATGACCCCCATACCTGAACCTCAGTTACTTTTGAGATCAACAACAATAACACTGATGTTATCACAGCTTCTCCGTCCTAAAGCAAGGCGAGTAAGAAGTGCAGCGGCCAACATGCTTCGAGAAGGATATAGAGATCCAGCTCCTTCATCTTTGATCGGAGGGCCAGCATTGACAGGATGATTTTCTTCTCGGAGGCACTGCCGAGCTACCTTACAAGCCAAGTCACCAGACAAAACATCCCATAAGCCATCACTTGCAAGGAGCAAGCAGTCATCTTCTGATTCTCTTTTTGTAAAAGTAATATCAGGCGCCGGTATCACAAATGGCTTTAAATACTCGTCCCCTGGCGGGAAAAAAAGATCACAAAAGAAAAACAACTGAGCAAGTATTTAAAGCACTCTTGCTTTAGAAAGCTAAGTAATTGTTCATCTGTCCGACACTGGGTAGAAATATAATATACCATCACAACCAGAACAAGTTGCAAACTAACCAATAAGGGTCAAGGAAAACCATGGTCAGGCAATTAACACAAATAGCAAACATGCATTTTCCATAGAAAGCATAGCATATCAGAACTCCAGATAAAAATTATAATGCCATTATACAAGTTAAAAAAACTAAGCAAAAGCATTATACAAACAGTCAGGTGATGGAACATAAATGCTTCATAGATATTTGAACACGAAAGTTTAGCATGCTGCTACTGGAAAGCAACAAACACATCACTTTGTAACAAATTTCCAACAAAGGACTGGAAAAACATTTTCCTTTTCTTTCCTGGCTAAAAAAACAGGTCTTATTTCAGTTGAATATTGAGAAAAATAAATGGGTGCGATGCTGAATGTTATGAGTAGCATGTAATCATGTCAAATTGTCAACTGCTTTGCCAAACAGATGAGAAGATTTATTTTCCATCTATAGCTTCCCTAAACAGAAATCTTATTATGTTTTCACTAATGAAGTCAGATGTGCTATCGTGGGTGCACATGCATTCGCAACCAAAAGTGTGTTTTGGTTGACGTCAAGAATCTAATCTCAATCTTGCCGGGTGGAAGCCATGCAGGCATCGGTTATGATTTTTGGCAAGCCATTTTTCTTGCCCAAGATGCATTGTGGAGAATTCCAGAACCATTAGAAGGGTGACAACCAAAATAATACCAAAATAATACACACATTCTAATGTTTAAGAACCAATAGTCAAAATCGATCCTTCTTTGTGCCATCAATGCCCATGGGAAAACTTCTTACTGTAAATTTGTGGAAATCACAGCAGGACAATCAAAGTCAAACTACCAACTTCTTTGTAACTGTGCATCTCGTCAGAAGTTAGCATTCAACTTGGCAGCACCATTGTTTGTCCTGATTGATACAGAAACAGCCAAATTCGTAATGAAAACTTACACACAACCCATTTTCATGTTGAATGCCTCATAATTAGAGGTTTGAGTACCCAAGAGGGATTATCATTGAAACTTTAATGTGCATCGTAGAAGTAACAGATTCCCAACTGTGAAAACAACATACATAGCATGTCATTAAGGAGCAATATCCATCATCATTAGGTCAGCAGCAGTTGCTAAATCACATGTAATACAGAACATGGTAAAGGATGCAGTGGAGCCACGCATAGCGACAGATTCTAACATCAACAAGGAAAAAGTAAAAGAACTGAATAAATTGTAGCATAGTATCTAACAGGGAAAGGTAAAGGAAATACAAATATCCAATGCAATACACAAGCATTCAGATGACAAGTAACCAGGATATATATATTATCTAGATTTTTGAGCTACTTTATGTATGCTGACATTTGCAAATTAACGAACACAGAAACTGTAGTACATTCTTTTACTTGAACTAATTTCAGAATCACTACAGTGATGACGCACCAAACAGAAAACACCACACAAATATATGTATAATCACCTAACTCTCGTTGTTTCTCGCTCATTCCTAGATTAGGAAATGAAACAGAAAGACAACCCACATATGCTGTGGAATCCTTCTTATCCTAATTACTCATATAAACCCTATGATTTCTCTATTACATTTTCCAACTTTTAGTTGAGCATGCAGCTCATCTAAGAGAACTATTTTTACCAGGTATGTATCAGACAATCTTTACAGTCATTTAACCAACTCTTAAATCAATTTAAAGTTGAGATGCCATTTTCTTTCTGTTGCTTACGGAATAGCCAAACAAAATTGAGCATTAATTTGGATTTTGCAAGACTCACCACATAATCCTCACTCTTAACTCGTGCCTTCAGTTCGCTACTTTTTCCTCACATTCATGAATCTACATAGTTACACAGGTTGTTCGGTATCTTTCTTCATGCCTAATATGGACAACGAACTTAAATTCACCCTATTGACAAAAAACCAAACCAAGTTTTACACTGATCATCAGACTAAATATATTCATATACCAATTCCGTTTTATGTTTATCATCCAACTTTTTACTAAATATAAAAATCTGTTTCCAAACTCCTTATCATTTCTTGGGTTAAGACAACAAGGAGCTCCATTTTAGCATTATATCCCCCGGCTTATAGCTTGCCAGTCACTTCTTTTCTTATTTTGGATGCCTTGTACCTTCCATTATCCATCCTTTCCAAGAGCATGAGGAAATACAATCTTACGAACAACATGCTATGACTACCACGAAAAATCTTATGACCAGCCTGCCTGCTACGACTACCAACACCCCAACAAAAAAAAAAAGGGGTGGGCAGGGAGGGGGGGTGGGGGTAGGTAGAACATTAAAGTGTACATGCCAGATGTAGTGTGACCTCAAATAATCATACTTCCCAAACTTTCCCAGATCCCTAATTGCTCTTCATTGACATCCTTGAAAGCAAACTGCACATGACGGATACAGATATGCCAACCATAATGAATCATAGACCAAAACACGAATAACATGGAGAGGCATGTAGAATGAATCAAGAAGGAAGAAGACCAAAATCGTAATGGTCGTCAGTTCCTCCTTCAACTGCTAAGAACCATGGAAGGATAAAGATCAAAGTTTCCCTCTGTACTTTCTTACCTCCCCTTCTATAGAAAAGGCTCACCAGTGAGAGTGGAGCTATAGCATCGCACATTATTGGCATGCGTGACCCATCAGTTGCACTGCCTAACACAGTAGATAACAAAATTATTTTCTGATATGAACCAATAATTTTGGTGCATCCATCAGAACCCTTAAGTTTTCTCATATGCTTCAACGAAGCATCCTCGACAATTGATTGCAGGTTAAGTGAGCACTAGCTTATGCTACCTAACTATACTAAAGCAAAGCCCTCTTCCTAGTCATTTTACATTTCCTTCTCTCTCTATATAAAAAAGATAAATTTTATCAAAGAGAAAGCAGAATAGCCTAGCATTTATAGTAGCTTATTGGTATCCATTTCAGTTGAGAGAAGGGAATCATAAAATTATATCCCATTCAATTTCCCGTTCTAGACCTTGCAACATTATTGCATACTTAAGTTGAACCTCAGATTGGCAACCAATCCATATCTGAAAGGAATATGCAAAATTTGATAGATCATTGCCACTTCAAACATAATTGATCAATCGTAAATATATTTTCTTTTGTAAATATAATTCTTTTATTTAGGCAGCATAATCATGTCCATTCTTTTACTCTAGTGGATAAACCAATATCTTGCATCATGGGACGTTTATAGATTTTTTTTTCTTTCTTTTAGATTGTTACACGCCAATATCTGTCCATTCGTAATGTCTATTGGTACTCAAGCCTCCAATATGGAACAAGTGCACAGCCATTCATGGATATTAATTTATTGTAGATGTCCAACAATAACTATTGAAAGAATGAAAGTCCCCTGTGCTTCCTTTGTTAATTATATGAATGAACCTATCCAGAAATCAATTTAAGAAAAAAAAACAAGAACTCAACAAACTTTTGCTTGTTTTTTTCAAAACAAATGTTTTTGACACCATAAGAGCCAATGGATGAATTAACTTCATAATTTCAGTCTCTTATGGGTAATTAACCCATTCAGCTAAAAAAAGGAAAAAGAAACCTAGAGCCCACAAACACTGATATAAGAAGCATAGACTAACCATTTTGCCAGATGAATTCAGCAAAAATTCATAGGATGGCAAATATAATAATGTAAACATACAGAATATCAGGTCAACAACTTTAAACTACGAATTTCAAAACCTCCACAGTGATGCAATCATGTTTCGTTCTTTTCTACTCTTCAGGGTATTAATGACCCTCCAAAGGTTAAAGCAGAACATTGCTTACTAGTCAACATGGAAAACTAGTCAACATTAGAGCAATAAAAAACATTAATTTGCTCAAAGAAACGCACCGAGTTTTCAAAATGCATAAGTTAGAAATTGAACTTTATTTGATTGGTGAAATTGAAAAAAAAAATTAATGCAAGGCTATTTAACATCATAAAGGGAGACATTCAACATGGATGCACATCCAACTCTGCAAACAATAGGACTAGGAGTAGTTTTGTGTAAAAATGAAAACTAATCTACTAATGTGACAGATGTATTTTCTGCATTCATTTTCATGAGATAAAATTAACATTTGTCCCAATAACGAGTTTTTTATACGAGTGTGTGGAAATAATAAAAATAATTCAGGTCTTGAGGTTTATACATTCCATGAGGATAACATGTCGTAACTCTGGGAAACAAGGATAATGATACGGTTAAACCTAGAATAAATTACCTATTGCTCGAGACATAGCGAGAATGCCTTCAACTCGAGCTCCATCCAGGTAGATCACTCGACCTCCAGCAGCTTCAATTCTTGCAAGTTCATCTTGCCTATCCGGCTGCAGCAAATGTTGGGAATTTTTTTTATTCATTAATCAAATTAAAGAGTACCAAAAAGATAAAAGAGAGAGCAAGTCAAATTAAACCAAAGGGGAGAGAGGGAGAGATTTAAAATGTTTTTACATCTCAGGAAGCAGCACGAATTTTTTCCATCTATTGGAAAAATGGATAACATGTGCAAACAAACTAGGCAGTGGAATTATTGATGGAATGAAATTCCTTCTCATTTTTTGTTTAATATGATTTAATTTGCCACTAATAAGATCATAATTAACAAAAAAATAGGATATCTTATTTTTAAGTGGAATAACTAACTAGGGGTGGATAGCAAATAAATTCTACTTCAGATAAAATTAAGATATAAATCCCATATGAAATTAGATTGGAGTATTATTTTCATTTCATTGACAATCTTGTTCTAACCAAACAGGGGCTAAACCCTGCATTTAAAAAAGAAGAAGAAGAAGAAGTAAAAGCACTCAGAAACAGTATGTTGCAAACGTGAAGTTGCCTCGCCAAGTATTGAAACTTCCATCCCATGACAAATCGAACATGAGCATTAGAATTCTGTCTCATACTTGCATGTAGGTCCAAACAATACGGACCATGATATTGCTAAAATCATGCAAACAGTTCTAAAGCTTCTAGTCAAAAGGATTCTCTTAACAAAAATGGAACATCATAACTAGTTCCTTCATGTCTGCCAAATGTTAAATGCACGACTTTTCCACAAGCAAACATAGACACCTGGTCTAGAGACCATCATCCAAGAAATGTCCCTATTCCCCACCCTGCGTAACAAGATGCCACCTGGTATCTACAATAGGTAACACTTGACAAGTTGGCAAATCCATGTATTTCATACCATCAGAAACACGCAATCCCCAATTGCAATGAAGACAAATTTCCAACAGTCACCATGATCAAATCATGACCGCTAATGGACGGCCTGGATTAGTTCATACATACATTGACATTTCCGCGTTTTCCGACTGAAAAAACTAACCTTATGATCAACACTAAGGGGAATGGCCCTTCCACCTCGTGAAAGCACGGCGCGTGAGTCACCGCAATTAGCAACAATTATATGCTCCGGGGTTAACACAGCCACCACCGCTGTGGAGCCACCAAGTATCATCTGGGTAGGGTGGCACTCGCATTGGAAACCCTCACTCCCACATGCGCACGTACTCATTGCCACCTCATCCATTCTCTCGTAGCTTCTCTTCATCACTCCCCTCCACATTTCCTCCCATTCCGCCCCAAATTCCCCACCCTCACCACTCACGCACTTTGATTCCACGCGTTCCAATTCTTCCTCTATTAACACGTGCATCTTTTGCCTGCATAACGCTGCCACCTGCGAAAAAAGAAAAAATAATGAAAACAATTAAAAAATAGATATTGTTAAGTGACGAGATTACCCTTCCCAAAATAGAATTGAATAGCGTTTTCAGAAATTACGTGATAACCGCCATGACCGTCATAAACACCAAACAAATGCAACGGCCTTCGGCGGTTAATCCCCGGCAGGCAAAAGCTAGTACGAACAGAAATCGCATCTTCCATCTCACTTGACCTCCCTGACACTGACATGCTCCCAAACACCGGCTCCACCGTCTGAATTTCACTCACAGTCTCAACAACCCGCTTTCCCTCAGCGGTTGAACTCGAGCTCCCCTCCCCCGTCGCCTGGCTCCTCTCTTTTGAACCTTTTGTGTAAGTCGGCTGAGGAGAACCACGAGTGGTTGAGATAGCGGCAAGACGCCTCATCTCGATTCTCCTTCTTCGGCGCTCCCTGCATTTCGCCGCCGAATCGTCTTCATTGTCGTTGGACATTTTTCGGCAAACTTCTGTCATTGCATTCCGTTACGGTTAACAGTCATCTCCGTTTGACATTGACAAACAGAGAGAGAAAGAAAGTGAGAGACAGAGAGATTTAACGGAGATTTATTTTTCTAATAAGGAAAGGAAAGGCGAAACATGTTGTGTTTTCTGTTTTTCTGGCGTAAGCAAAAGCATGAAAGGCCAGCCAGCTCAAAATTGCCTCTTCTTATTTGCCGTCGTTCGACACACGTGTCCACCCTGACGCTCCATCTTTCTGATTCTTCCCCTTTTTTCACAAGCGCCGTATGGATAGTATAATTTCTTTGTGAAGCCATTTGATCGTTCAAAATACCCCGCAATAAATCATAAATATCACATAATAAGTTAATTTATCACTCCTATTTTTTAAAAAAATCAGATGCCCAAGTCTAATTTATGAAAAATAATTTTTAATTCCTAAAATCGAAATATGATTCAAATTTTTTTCTTATAAATATTATTAATAAAAATAATAAGCTGAGTAAAAAGTATTATCAATATAATTAATAAAATTTGACGCGGGAAACACTGTTCACGCATATTTTTTTCATCCAGGTCTTTTTTATTGGTCTTTTTTCATTCAATTTTTTTTTTAATTGTATGATTTTTCTTTCCATTTAACAGATCTCAAACTTTTATTTTTTATTAGATCCTTTTACTCTTCATTTTATAAATGTAATGTGCTTTCACTAAATTAATATTTAATAAATTATAAAATAATATTTGAAATCTTCAACATGCTAGATAATACAAGATAAAAGTAATATTAAAAAAATAAAAAAAATACAATATAGTAAAAAGATACAATCTATTATGGGTTATAATAATTACCCCTAATATTTTTTAAATATTTTATATTTTATCACTTAACTTTTTTTTATTTTCAATTAATTCTTTTATATTAAATTGATTTGAGATTAAATTTGATATTTTATTTTGATTGGTGTTATATAAAATTCTCACAATATTAAATATAAGTTTTGATTGAGAATTAATACTTGATTTTAAAAAATAAAATTTAAATTTATTAATTCAAACCAATTAAAACTTTTGAAATTCAGTTTCAATCTAAAAAAAATATTAAGTTTTTTTAATAAATAACATATTTATCTTATCTTCCTAACTTAATCTTTGTTATAATTATTATATTTATTATCTTTTATTAATATATATAATTTTCAATTTATTTTAGCAAACACATATATAAACTTTTCAATTTGAATAAAAAAAAAATCTTGATGGTAAAAGGAGTTTACCAACACCAATTTGTGCCTTGAGAAAAAAAATGTAACATCTCACAGCATAGGACAGATAATCAAACTAGTGATCTTACAAAATAATTTAGATATCAACGTTTTTTAAGAATGCAAGTAGCACAAGTTCACATCTGTAAGACTTTTTTTTTTAAAAAAAAAACAGTTTTTTATTTCATGTAATTTTTTTGTATGAAAATGTTTATTTTAAATGAAAATTAATATGTAATCAAGCATATTGGTATATTTTCTCTAAAAAATACATTGGTATTATTAAATAATGAAGATATTTCAATAATCAATACATGACACAATTCATGCTCTTTCAATTATCTTTCTTGCAACTTGTTTACTGTTGGTAAAGATGAAGTTTATGAAATCTGAATGTGAAGTCAAGAAGTAGCTTAAATTAGTATAAAAAAAATACTAAAAGAAACTCAGAACATGGTAATTTGTTTTATAGGAATAAGATTCCATGTAAAATTTACTAAGATGACAAGTTCAGATAGTTTAATTATTGTTAGTTCATGATATTCATTTTATGCATAGTTCTTCTTCTTTTTTTTTTTCTTTTCAATTTAGTTTTTTTTTTAATTTTATTTTTTTATCCTTAATTTATTTAGATTTTTTTAACTGTTACCTTTAAATCGGTCAAATTAATTAGATCATGTTAGGATACTTCTGTACAGTTTACTTTTAAATTAAGACAGGATATAAAGTGAGGTCAAAAGGTTTTTTTTCAATTAATTTCATTATTTTCTTTTCAATTTCATTTTAGAATTTCTTTTTACCGTTCATTTAGATTTTTTTAAATGATCAAATCGATCGAGTTAGGCTCGAGCTCAAGTTACGTAAAAAATTAGATTGAGAGGTTTTAATATTATTGAATCGAGTTTAATAACAATATCAAATAATTTTCTATGACTATATTTTTTTGTTAATTTCAAAAAAAAAAAGTTATTTGAATTGCAATGAAGCAAGAAACTATAAACTAATTAACAATAGATTAAAACATGTAGGGAAAATATTGTAGCAATAAATAGTAATTCCCCCGCATATTTCAGTGTAGCCCTATAAAACATTTATCTTTGTTTTTTATTAGGTTATCTCACTTTCATGATATAGATTGTAGGTTAATCTAGTTGTCTGTGATTTTTTTTTAAAAAAAAAAATTCTCGTAATCTCATCATTTAATATTAGATTAATTGAAAATTAGGTTTCATAATTCGTTTTATTTTTTTTCTATTAGGTTATTATAGTCTTATGATCCAAGATTAATATTTAATGGGTTAACCCGAGTTAACGCATGTAAGTTTTTATATGTTTTTTTAATTGAATTTTTTTCAATTTTATCATTTAATATTAGGTTGATTGAAAACTAAGTTTCATAATCTATTTTGATTTATTTTCTTTGAGATATTATGGTATGTTGATCAAGGTTACATGTAATATCTTACATCAACAAGTAAGGAGTTGGTTGTTGGCCTTATTAGTAGTACTAGTTGTTAATATATTATACATGTTTTGGGGCTCGTGAGTTGCCAGAAACAAAACCGTGAGAGGGATCTAGGTGAAAGCCCCGAAAATAAATAGACTGGAAGGTCCAAAACGGACAATATACAGTATGTTGGGCCAAGCTGTTACATTTGATATTAGAGTCAACCTCATTGGCTATCCAATGGTGCCGATGAGGTCGTCAGGCTCCTGAAGGGGGATGGATTATAATATTTCACATTGGCGGGTGAGGAGTTGATTGTTGGCCTTATTATTAGTCCTGGTTGCCAATATATTGTATGTGTTTTGAGGCCTGTGGGTTGCCAAAAACAAAATCATGAGGGAGACCTAGGTGGAAGCCCTGAAAATAGATGGATTGAAAGACCCAAAGTGGGCAATATATAGCATGTTGGGCTAGGCTATGACATTACGAGTTTTGGTATTTTAATCATAAATAAATCAATTTTTTTTATTTTCTTTCTAAAAATTTATCTCAGTTTCATATTCTTCTAACATTGAATTTGTTTTTTATTAGGTTGTTCATTTCTTATGCACCCAAGTTGTAGGTTTTACAAATTAATTTAATTGACTTAATTTTTAAAAAACTTTTTTTGCCTGACTTTTTTTTTTAATTTCATCGTTAAATATTATTGTTAATTGAAAATGAGACGTCATAATTTATTTTGATTTGAATTTTATAAAGTTGTCTCGGCATTATAACCCGAAAATAATGCTTAATGGGTTAACCTATATTGACTTAATTTATTTTTTATGTTATTTTTAATTAAAATTTATACAAATATGTTATTTCAGTTTCATGATTAGAGTCGCGGATTTGGTAAGTTAATTTGGGGTAAGTATGTTATTTTTTTAATTTTATTTCTAATAAATTATCCTAGTTTCAAGACTCGAATCATGAGTTTGGTGGATTGACTTAGTAATTTTATGTTTTTTTAATCATGTCCTTTAATATTAAACTAATTGAAAATTAAACTTTGTAATTTATTTTTATTGTCTTTTGATGGTATTACCCTGGTATTATGAAGTTGCAAATTTAAAATGTTAACTTGGGTCATATTTTTAGATTCCTTTTGTATTGTTTTTTTTTTTTTACTTTTATAATTTAATATTGGGTTGATTAAAAGTTAGATTTTATAATTTGTTTTCCATGTAATTATTATAATTTCATAATTTAGGTTATGCATTTGACATGTTAATCTCGAATGATAAAAAAAATCAAATATGTTCTTTATTTTAATATTAAAAAAATATTATCTTAAATTTTTTTATCAAATTATGTTTTATTGGTTATTTGGTTTGCTTTTGAACTCATAAAATAAATCAAATTATATTATATTAATCTTTATATAGTTAAAAAAATAAAAAAATAGCAATACATGAATATTCTTTTTATATTATAGAAAAATGGATGAAAATCGCAATATAATACGGTAAATAATCTATTTACAAACTAAAAAGATTTTTATCATATCCAATAAACAATTTCTCAAACTAGAAAACCAATCACACATGTTTATGTTCATTTCCAATAGTTGTGATTTAAGTGCATGGTGATATTATTAAAAAAGAAAAAAGAAAAAAGAGCATGATGATGCATCGATTAATAAAAATAAAAAAGTAAGTGATTTGTTTTTTTTAAGTCACAAGAATTATTAATACGCCGAGACTGTCTTTATTCTGTCTTCTTAAATCCGGCTATACACGGCGAGTTTTTGAAAAAAATTCAGGGTAGCAAGTAGAACGACACGTGTCGCAGAATCTGACAAATGGAGCCTCCGGAGCTTAATATCTAACAAGTGGACGAATTATTGGTTTCCAAGTTTGGATGAAAGTACTGGGATGGCCCACAAAAGGTTACTCTCTTTTCCAACGTTCCTTTGTCTTATCTATCCGGGAATTACGAAGCCGTAACACAGGTGTCAAGCTCTGTACTTACCACAACTTCGAAAGTGACGTGCCCGGCCCATTCATGACACATAGAAAGTATTGGGTTACTGTTATAGAAAAATAGAAAAAAATGAGTTAAAAAACTAAAATAAAATTGTATTTAATGATGATATAAAAAATAAAAAAATTATCTTTATATTTTATTTAATTATATATAAAATAAAATTAAATATAAAAAAAATATTTTAACTTTAACAAGTATGGTTATTAAACTTGCTTTAAAAAAATATTTTTTTTCATTTTGTTTTATATTAAATATTAAAATTAATTATATTACAATAATTATATAACTGGAACTCACTTGAATGAAGAATTAAACTAATTTGAGATTAAAAAAAAATATAAAAATAGAATTTACTCGAATTAACTAATTAAATATCTAGATAAAATATAGATTAAAATTAGTTGATTTTTAAA